AAAACGAAAAGAGGCAGTGGTGTTTGATATCATATTTCGTCTTATTGTAAATACAGTAAGGAAAATTGCAGTAGCCAAGGCGAGCTGACTGACATTACCAAGTATGCTGCTGTTTGCAGAATTACCGGACTTGAGTCATCCTGTCCGCGGGAGTTCACACTCCCGAGTTGAACTTGCGAAGTCCGAACTACCGAGGATGCAAGTCCGAACTTTGCGTACTTGGTATTGAGAAACGCGCGCAGACCTACATCACCAGACTATTTGCCTAATCTTCTCGGTACTTTAGACTGCGATGGGCAGACAGCAACAGGTCTGCGGGAAAAAAGTTCCTGGGACAAATTGTTCCAGGTAATTTTGGTGGAAAAGCGGCTTTAAGAAAACACCTGACCTTAAGTATATTATAATATTAATTAGCAATTTTACTACAGTAAGTAAAATAATATACTTACTATGAAATACTTTTTAGTCTACAGTGCAGTTGTTCTACAATGGTAATATATTTCTGTCTTAGACTACCTACAACTACTACTAATAATAATAATAACTATTATTAGTGTTTTCCATACATTGATTTATTTGTGGCAGCCCGCCACAATATAAAAACTGACCGCCACAAATAGATTTTCCAAAAGGCTTTGACTTCGTTGAATAAACATGAGTATGTATATGTATGGCGATAATACCGCATACCGCGCTATTGAGCCACTCAAAATTACCGCAAGGGAAATTCCCTCACCGCGACAGCCCTATTTATATCACTGTATTTCTGAAGGAAACCGACTGTCTTCAGAAAATTTTGGATATCATTTTCATTTCATCTTGCATGTAATGTCTGATAAAGCAGCGTTTGTGAGCGTAGCGCTGCTTTGTGTACAGCTTTACCGGGGAAACCCGGTCTATTATTTCTCCCACTCTAAGCACCTCCTGCTGGCAGGGAATGAATTTGCATACTGTATATATGCCGCCACAAATACTCTATATAATAGACATGCTAATAAGCAACAAGTTAACAGTGAGAATTAGTCCCTTAACTAAAGTGTTATTCTAAATTTACATTATATATATATATATATATATATATTAGGGATGCACGATGTTATTGGACTGATATCGGAATCGGCCGATAATGGCTTTAAATATAAATATTGGCATCGGCCTGATATGAAAAATTATGCCGATATGCCTTGCCGATAAGTCAACAGTCACTAGGCATGCAGTATCAACAGCCTCCCCCGGGTCCTAATGTCCATCCGGTAAAGCATTTTATTATTTAGGGGGCACTATAGGCCTACTTGTAATAAAAATGAAAGTAAAATACACAAATAACATTGACATTGCATAAATAAACCAGTGATTAATGTCATAAAATCATGAGTCAGTTTTGTTAAAAGTCAGAAGCTATAGCTTACATGAATAAAACAAGACACTTGTAAATTAGGCTAAATAATTTTATACTGTATAAAGATTTATTCATTAATGTGTAATATATTAAATTTTTTATAATCTCTGCACTGGAGAAACTTGTTTTTGTTTCCAAACATAAAGAAATATATCGGTATCGGCACCGGATAGTGGCCAAAATTAGTACAAAATATCGGCATATCGGCAAAAATCCAATATCGTGCATCTCTATTTTTTTTTTTATTATTTAATCCCACTCAGAGCTATAAGGCCTAAGGAATCTCAGACAGCAGAGTTTCAATTGATAATAAAATATTTTTTTCATTGTTATAAAGAAACTTTTTCATTATTCTTACTAATATTATGTTGACACTAACTATCAGATATTTATTAAGTTTTTAATTATAATATTTTGTCATAATTTTTTCACTTTCACACATCATATGCTGGTGGTTCAGTTATACCCTCATTTTGGCGGAAAACATTTGGCAAAATTATGAGTTGCAGTGTGTAGTTGACCATAAGTTCTAGTTTAATAATAGCCACAATTTTGTCACAATTTTGATTCTATTTAGAGTCAATGTGCAGCCCACACCAACAGGAACTTACCCAGGCCAGGAGGTACTTCTGGACATGGCGGTAATGGCTTAGGGGTCGGCGGTGTGTGGTTGGCCTCTGGCTTGGTGCTGGGCAGAAGATGGTCAGCTGTGGCCAGGTAGCTTGCAAAGGTAGTGTTGGGCCTTCCGCTGGAGAAATTATAGTAGTAGTGGTGGGGTCCTCGTGAGCTGTTCGCTCCACGGCCATTGTTAAAACGGCTGAAGATGTCGAAGCGTTGGCTGTAGACATCGAAGTAGAGGATCATCATGATGAGGAAGTGCACCAGGCAGAGCAACAGCACAGCCTTGCAGATCCGCTCCAGGGTCCGGCCCAACATCAGCCGGCTCATGGTCAAAGCCACACGGCACGCTCCGCTACACACATCCGGTCAACGTCACTTCTCCGCACCGCTGAACCCTCCCGGACTGCAATTTACTAATATCACCTACAAAACAAAAACGAGGGGAGTTATTATTAGACTCCTGTGCATTTATGATTTCACTGTTGGGGTGAGACCAAACTTCAGATACCCATCAGGCCTAAAGACAAAGCATAATTCCAAATGCAGAAAAATCTTTAAACTGAAGTTCTGGTACTATGAAAAGGTTCCCGCGGTGCGAAAGGCCCTACTGTGTATTGTTAGGTTTAAATGCTCTCTATTGCAGCAGACAATTAGGCTACTGTTTAACCAAACACTAATTATGTTAATACGATGTCAGAGTAGCTTCCCTATAACTGTGCTAATACTGCAGTAGTATATGTGGTAATAATTTGTGTGCTTGAATGTAACATAGCCTAATTCATTTATAGCATTTACATAAATTAGAAGTCCTCAACTGGTTTTGCTTAGCACCCAGATTCTATAATGGAGTGGTAGTGGCAATCCAACATGCTATCAAAATGTTTCAAATATACACTACTGTTCAAAAGTTTGGGGCTAGTAAAGTTTTTTTAATTAATTATATTTTTTATTAATATAAAATAATAGATTTTTATTTATTTATTGTTTATTTAGCAAGGATGCATTATGTTTATCAAAAGTGAAAAAAAGCTATTTTCAACACAAAATGAGCACAAAACTCCAAAATATCAAAATAATTTCTGAAGACTGTAATAACTGTAAAAAATCAGCTCTGACATCACAGTGATAAATTATATTTTAAAATATATTAAAATAGAAAACAGTCAAAAATCTTTCTGACGCTAAACTTTCGAACTTTTGAACAAAAATGTCTTTGGTCAAACATTGATATTAACAGTAATATTAATATTAAGTTCATGGTTTAACCAAAGCCCATTTTGTCAATTTTTGTCAATTTTAATTTTGGAAAACAGATTGATTTAGCTATTTTAGCGATATGTTGCTATATAGTTAGCTGCATTTTATTATTTGCACTTTGAACTGTTTTTTCTTGCTGTTCACAGCTGGAAGAGACCCACCAGCTGTGAAACACTGATTTTAATCATTAATAATTTATTAAATGAACAATAGCAATCTAGAAGCTTGTGAGTACATTTTTTAAGTTGGACTGACACTAGGGTTACGCCAGACTTTAATTATAGAATAAGACTGCTTTGTACTTAGATCCATGGCAATTATTATTCATATGCATTTAAAAAGAGAATACAATTATCCCTGAAGTTGAATGATCTTTAACATAAAATTTCTTTTTCACATCATTATTTTTCTGCATAATATTGATAAAGAAAGTCTAAAGTCACTTTCAAAGCCCCATTAACCATGTGAAGCAAAAATAAATGTAAGAAAAATCTATTCAAGACAATGTAATTTACACAGCAACAGTGAAACTCCAGCTTTCTCCAGGTTTAATTGGGATAAACTAGAAAACACTTAATAGCTGTCCAAGTCTTGCTGTGAGCAATTACAATGTTGACGGGATTTTCCAATCAACCCTAAGTGTAAGAGGCCAAAGGCAAGGAAGTTTACGAATCAACAGACTACAGCCTGAAGTCAGAGACCTGCGGCTAATTTCTCCCTCTCACTCTCTCCTGGCGTGATCGCTGGATGAAACTGGATGGGAAAGCCTCTTGATTTCACACATGGCCAGCTGTTGAAAGCTCCCCCACGGCAGTTCGGATGGGGGGGCTCACATCAGCAGCTTGTAAGCGCTAACGCACAGGCTGACCGTGTAGGGGAGGACGTATAGGATAATGGGATTTCTCAACACCTGCAGAGACTGGGCTCATAACTACACCTCGCCTGCACCCTCGTCCACTGCCCACCGTAACGTGTGACTCCTCTGCAATACCCATCATCAGCACTAGGGAGAAAAAAACACTGTCTGACACAATTCACATGGCTCAGCCTGGTTTGAGCTCCTTTAGGGAATCACTCAACACTCACCAACCCCCATAATGAATCACACCGGCAGTCACAGACACAGGAACAAGCCAAAAATACTGTTACTGAGAGGTGGGAGAAGAGGTAAGATACAAAATAAGAATAGAAGATGACTGGGGGGGGGGTGTCACAAAAAGGGAAATGGGGTGCAAGGAGTCAACAGACAGAAGGAAGACAACAACAGCAAAGAGAGAGACTATACAGAAGCATCTGGATTCCTGTATTTCATCGAATTACATGAAGAACCTACTTCTGGACTGCTAATGAAGTATGTTTTATAGATTGTCAGCGATTGGCATAATTGCTTAAGTTATTTAAATCATTAAGTTATTTAAAGGAGAGTAATATGAGGCTTTAACTGAATCAAAAAAATCATTTTATCTTTAAAGGGATAGTTCACCCAAAAATGAAAATTCTGTCATTAATTAATAACCCCCATGTCGTTCTAAACCTGTAAGACCTTCGTTCATCTTCGGAACACAATTTAAGATATTTTTGATGAAATCTGAGAGCTTTCTGACCCTGCATAGACCGCAACACAACTGACACATTCAAGGCCCAGAAAGATAGTAAGAGCATCATTAAAATCGTCCATGACGTCCATGTGACATCAGTGGATCAATCATAATTTTATGAAGCTACGAGAATACTTTTTGTGCGCAAAGAAAATAAAAATAAGGATTTTATTCAGCAATTTTTTTCTCTTCTCTGTCATTCTCCGCGGTGGTGTCCATTGGTGTCTATGCAGGGTCAGAAAGGTCTTGGATTTCATCAAAAATATTGAAATTTGAGTTCTGAAGATGAATGAAGGTCTTACGGGTTTGGAACGACATGAGGGTGAGTAATTAATGACAGAATTTTCATTTTTGGGTAAACTACCCCTTTAATACCATCCACTTTTAAAATGTAGTTTATTCATTATATTAAAAAAAAATCTACTGAACAACTTTCAGGCATGTTCAGTCTTTCTGCAAATGCCCACTTATTTCTTTTTGTTTTCCTCATAAATGAATGGATAACTGTGGTAACCAGGGTTTGTTTATCTCCATTCTAAAGGAGACAGGGCCCAATAAAGAACAAGTTGCCACTATATCTATAGATTCCAACATCTAACATCATTAATTATTTATTGTTACACATACAGTATTATTTTTCCTGTAGACTTGTTGAGTTTCTATTCACAAGTCTACATGTCCATTTCTTGCAGGTGAGTAATATAAATACATTCCTAGACATACACTACCGTTCAAAAGTTTAGGGTAGGCAAGGTTTTTGTGATGTTTTTGAAAAAAAGTCTCTTGTGCTTACCAAGGCTGCGATTATTTGATCAAAAATATAGTAAAAACAGTAATATTGTGAAATATTATTGCTACTTTGATGTATTTAAAGTTGTAATTTATTCCTGCTATGGGAAAGCTTAATTTTCAGCATCATTACTCAAGATGATTTGGTGCTCATTATTTGATGAATAGAATGTTCAAAGAAACAGTATTTATTTGAAATAGATTTTTTGTAACATTGCAATTAACATTAATGTGTAATGTTGGTACTGTCATTTTCCACCTGTACTCTTGCACTATAAAAACAAATGTCAAATCAGGTAATGCATATTTCACGCATATTATGCAAAATAACTTTTGTGGTGTATAGAACTTGCACTTAAAAAGAGCCACCAAGCTCATAATTCTCTGCATTTGTCTTTTCATCTCCTGTGGCCTTATGGAACAGAAAGTGTCCAGTGGTTGCACACTCACATCAGTACATCATTCTTAAACTGTACACTCTTCTATGAACTAGAAGTTTGTCTCAAAGAATATATTGTATGCTGAAGTCCCAATACCAAAGCTCCTAAAATATTCATCACAGCTCCAAAGGCCTTGTAGAAGAAGAAGACCCCCTTGGCAAAATTTTGAGCAAAAATACTTTCTCCAAAGTTCTTACCACACATAATTTCCTTAGCTTCACTTTTTAGCCATCAGACAGTACAAAACTTTCTATCAAAGCACTTTATAGCTAAATTTCAACAGTCATTTTGGGAATAAAGCAATATAGAATGACAATAAAATTAATTAATAAGGCAATATCAAACCAGCTACTCTTTTCAAATGCTATCTAATCAATTCTTCAATAAATGGAACACTTCCAGATGCCCTAGAATAAGTTCCACAGGACTGTGCTCATTAATTTAGTATATCCACTTAACTGTAATATTATTCATACTCTCAAAGAGGGACTTACTATGCATGCACTGGTTCTCAAAGCCTCTGTTGAAAACATCAATGCTAATGAGGTTATATTTTTGAACACTCCAGAAGTTAGCAATTTGGTCTCAATAAAAGTCAGGATCAATAATAAGCCAAGCCCCTGAATCACATACTTTCCCACATTAGACAAACTTAATAAACTAAAAGATTGACACTAGCACAAATTCAAGCAGCTCAGGCTGACCCATAACAAAATTAGCCAGAAATAGAGGCTAATTAATATTTTACATCCCACCTATGTCATAAACTAATGGGGAAAAAAGCAAGGTTTTACATCGACACAAGGGAATCCATCAAATAAACTGGCAACAAAATGTGTAGAGCTTCTATATGCTTAATTTTTTATAACCAACAAACCGAACAGTGGCACTTTCTTGGTTTGCATTATTCATGCTGGCCTTCAACCTAACATTCACTAAATAATCAAATGTAAACTAAACAGTAAAAAGAAGAGATTTAAGTTTTTGTAGTACATGCCTATACAAAATTTGTTTTAAATTGAACTTACAGTGTTATTTAGCAAGCTTGCTGAGCTATATTATAATGATCTACACTTAAATGACAGTCAAAATATATTACGGAGCCTATTTTTATTACATTATGATATAATGGCAAATATACAGTACCTTTCAGTTTGTGATCAGTAAGATTAAAAAAAAAAAAAATCTTATTTGGTAAAGATGCATTAAATCAAAAGTGACTAAATAATCAAATGTAAACTAAACAGTAAAAAGAAGAGATTTAAGTTTTTGTAGTACATGCCTATACAAAATTTGTTTTAAATTGAACTTACAGTGTTATTTAGCAAGCTTGCTGAGC